TCTTGCACACGACATGTGTGTAGAGGAGATGGTTTTACTGGGAACACTGGGGACATGGACACAGAGGGAAAGGAGGCACACAATGTGTGAGGAAACTAGGGAAGACAGAGGGATACTGCTCTGGTGTGGAATGTCTGGGAGGTGTAATTGTAGGAGGAAGTATGGGGTTATTGGAGGTTTAGGGAGTGTGAGATGAAGGGATGCAAGGCACAGATCTGTTGGAAACCTAGACCGATTTCTACCCATGGATGTGAAACTGTGTTGATTGCAACATGTGTAATTTTGCACAGTTTCTTGAAACAGTAGTTAAATAGTTATATCTTCTTACTTGTATTTTGCAAAGATAAATATTTCCTTTATTCATCTGAGATATGTTTTTTTATGAGGCTCATAATACTAGCTACATAAAAGAAAAGTACATTTCTCATACTTAATATTATTTCATGATTCAATAGACTAAGTTTAAAATAAAATGGAGTAATATAACCACAAACATAAAGTGGGAACATAACCATACCAGACAATATTCTCCCACTTTAAAAGGTCTTTGTTCAATACCCCTTCAACATTCAGGAAGTAGTCTGTGTACTCCTTAAGAGATAATCTACTAAATGTTCATAAATTAAACAAGAAAACACACACAAAAAAAGAAAAAGGGGCAGGGGGGCGAAAGAAAGGGCAATCATGTAGACCCTAAACTGTGAATTTTTATCATCGCTGTTTATCCTCCATAGACCATAGCCCATAAACCACAGTAGACTTCTCTGATTAAGTGATTAAGTGTCCAGGGAAAATGTGATTCTGGTGAAAGGAGTTTCTCTTCATTTCTCTGCTCTCTTAGCTGTTCAAATCATAGCATGGAATTATGTGAGAAGAGTTGGTGCTGCCCAGCAGCTGGTAGCCTACTTACAGTGCAGTGTCATCTACCCTCAATTTCCAAAATCTTGTATCATCCTCCAGTAACTTAGGTGATAGTTAAATTGCTCTTTCTTGTGATTTTTATTATTTAGAAAAAGGCAGGAGAGAGTTGGCAGAGTCTCCCAGGATAAAAATTCTGTCACCTCTATTAATATGATCAAGGTGGTGGGAACACTGCTATCTGTTTCACTAAAGAAAATAGGTCTGGCTTACCAGTGAGCAGTGCATCTTGTGCTTTTGCTAATCATCCTACAGTGATATTGATAAAGTTGCCATAATAACTTACAAAGCCAAAAGCCTTACAGAAGCTGGTCTGACTCAGAGCTCTGAGTTGCAGAGCTGAGGCCAGCAGGGGCAAGATGTCAAACACGTGCCCTCTTTCACCCCTTACATGCACTGGTAGAGACCAGCAATGCAATACTGGGCACCTTTTATTCAAAGTAGCTTGCAAGGTACCGAACTGTCAAATGGGCAGAATGGATGTGTGTGAATTTTGACCCAGAACTGCAGTTACAGAGAGGCAAAGTTCACAGCACACCAAAGGGGAAAAAAAAAAAAAAATCACAATGCTCATCGCCTACACACACAAAAAATAGAACAGAGTGGGTAGGGAGGTGGAAGCAAGTTCACTGCGACAGATATAGTGCAGAACTGAATATGCAACCGATAAAGGGGTCATGCTTTTGTGCAATCCAAGCAGGACAAATAGAAGAGTCTGGGAGAAGCTATTTCTACTGATATTCAAAGTCAACTGTCCCTTTTAGAGTGTCGTTCCCTTGCTCTTCCTTCTGTCCATTTGTACACTGACTCTCCTCTCACATTCTGTACTTGTAGTTGTTTGTTGTTTGATATCACTGCCTACTCGCTAGAAATAATAATAAATCGAATACATAGATTAAAAAAAGCCAGAATCTCGAACCTACCAATTTAAATTAGGTTAAGAAAAGTTGTTAAAAGTAAGCTAAAAGCAAATGAGATGAAAAGCAATCTCTGCCCAAGAGATTGCCTCTGCACACTGGAGAAAGGAGACCCAACTCTCTTCCCCATATGAGGAATCAGCTCTTATGCAGTAGCCAATATCACAAAATTCCTTTTTTTCTGTCTACTTCTTAGGAAAATCCTCACTACATCCCACCAGGCACAGATGTAATCAGACAAGTTTTAATCTTTTCTTCTAAGTCAGTCCCCTTAGCAATCACTAGCTTTACATTTCTTTGAATTCCCTTCCAACTGCTCTGCAACATTATGGTGAGAGGTTGTCCAGCCTCATATGCTGCCTTCTAAGGGCCAGGCCACTTCTGTGTCAGAGGGATTCAAGGCCATTTAGTAGGAAACATTAAGCATCTTGCAGGATCAACCAAGATTTTCCATTTCACCATTCTTGATCAGAATGGGATTATTGTTCCTTGCTGAGTAAAAGTATGATAGTTCTTCATATGCAGACTGAAAAAATTATTAAAAAAATAAAATTCAAAGATGGCTGTTTTGCTGTGGCACTGCATTGCAGATTCACATCTAATCTTCTGCCAATATTATCCACTCAGTCTTTTTCAATGTTGCTGTTTTCCAGATTTTTCCTCCCACTGAATCTGTATGTTTGATTAATGTTTTCCCAGATGTCTGAACCTGAGGAAAAAAAAAAGGCACTTTCAGTCTCATTTTGTTAAGTGCTAGGAATCTCTTTGATGATCCATAACTAATTTTACTGTACTTGTCACAAAGCAGATGTATGGCAGTAGTCCCCTAAGCATGCTGCATTCAATCATTACAAACTCCAGGCTTCTCCTTTCTATTTCCCCACCTTTTTTGTGTTTACTTTTTCATTAGTAATTATCTTTCACAGTTTATCATATTCTCTCTCACTGGCTTATTGAACATATTTGACACGTGAGTTATACAGTTGATCCAATCACATTTTATCCCTGTCTTTTTAGTTTTATCCCTTTGTAGAATGTCAGATTAGGATGCAGTTTCAGGAATACAATTCTTCATTTTGGTTATTTTGTCTCAAACACTTAGTGCATTAACACTTCCTATTTCTAATTTACATGAAAGATTTTCACATTCAAAGGATGGAGAGTCTTTAAACATTAAAAAAGAACTATTAACATGAAAGCCTGTAAATAACTCCCGCTTAAAGAAAGTGCACTCTGTTATCTCTAACTCAGCACCAATAATTTGCAATAGCTTCAAAGCTCATCTTTGTTTCAGCCTTCTCTCCTGGAAAGGTAGAAATCACCTCTGAATTGTCTCTCTTATTTCTGATAAGCTTTAGCTATTACAAAACCAGAGAGATGACTGATGCTATTGAATCTGACAACGGGGGGAATTCATGAAACTATCTAAAAAGAAACTACCCCTTTGTGACTGTACAGCAAACACAACTATTTAGATTCAGAGAGCAGTCGAGGCTGGAAGGCATCTCTGGAAATTGTCAAGCCCAACCCTCTACTCAAAGCAATGTCACCTACAGATGTGTTGCTCGGGGCCATGCCTGGTTGGGGTTTGAATATCTCCAATGATAAAGACTTAACAGGCTCTCTGTGCAACCTGTGACAGTGTTTAATCACTCTCACAGTGAAAAAGAAAAAAAAAAAACAAAACAAAACACCACAAAGTTTATTTTTTATTGTTTTTATTTTGTTTAAAAAGATTTTTTTTTACATTTCAATTTGTGCCCATTTACTACTTTTGAATGTCACATCTCATTACACTTACAAAACGGATTTGTTGCTAAGGTATTTTCTGCAGGAGAAATAAATCAGCTACAAAAAGTGCACCTATTTTTCTGCAGAAGCTGTCAAAGTGCAATTGTAACACCGACCTAGATATTTGGGCTACTGGACATATGGAAGTCCTTATGAAACAAAAGTCATATCTTATTCACTGTGATGCATATGACAAATACACTGGCTGTATAGAGAAATGAAGGAATTATTAACCAGCTGGAATACACGTCATAAAATAATTTATATCAAATAATAACAGTAGGTATTAAGCGAGAAATTACAGTGTTGTTCTCGTCCCTTCTTCTATTAAACAATTGCAAAACCAAAATGATGACATTCCATGCTGTCACAACCATTGTTTCTTGTCCTTTCCTCAGAGAGTCTTTAGTGCTCAGTTGACCACTTACATACTTGTATTGAAGGGGGTTCTTCTTTCTTTGAGGCAGATGAAATACAGAATACTGTCTAATGAAGAGAACTGTACCTGAATTTTTATCAAGGGTCATTCTGATAAACTTGTAGACTGCACTGGGCATATCCTTTGCAATAAATGCCCAGAGATCATACCTTGTCAGTACTAGGTAAAGTTGTTTTTTATATTTAGAGTTCCACATGAGCTAAGAACTCACTAGGACTGAATATTAAAGATCATCACTACAAAATTTTCTATATTAGGACTTGTAAAGCTCTGACTAAGCCGGGGAGCAATACAGACTTTCCAGCCCTTGGGTCTGACTACTCATAGCCCCATATCTGGGTGATCTGACAGCCCCATCCTCTGCTCAGCAATACTTTGTAGGACGGGAGCCAAGGAATACTGGCTGTGCTTCCCATCTGGCTGAGCGGGCAGGAGCTGGACTTTGAAATATGCTTCCATGTATACCTGCTACTCAGCCCAGACATGGCAAATAGCAGAAATGAGTAATTGGTGTAATGGGCAATTTAATTTTGGCATCTGAAGTTGGTGCTCTGACAGGGACCAAGGTATCATCTTCACTTTGGAGGTTAGTCAGGTGCAGGATGAAATTCCTGTTCCAAAAAGGAAAGGCAAGCCCACAAAGATGCAAATGGATGGTTAATTGATGCTACCTTTTGTCAGAAAGATACTTGAATTTTAGTTCTTGTGAATCACAGATAAGTTCCTTGACTTGGCTATTTGTAGCTGTTTATCCTTATTTCTGCGCTTTACCCCTCTGATATAAAATGTGCTTCTTCATGGTATTTCCACAGCTGTGCTCTGAACCTTTTTGATAAAAAACACTTGAGAGGACATGACAGAAAGGGAAAGTATTACCACTTTTTACTGGTTTTCTTATTTTTTCTTTTTCTTTTTTTTTTTTTTTTTCCTTACAGTGGATCTGACAGTGGGTGGAAAGTGGTGACTCAGACATTGTCACAATGTTGAAACTCATCTGTCTGGAAGGGTGTTCTGCCATGTGGTGCGGGAGAAGGAGATGGCATGAGGGAGGGAAGAGGAGGTGCCGTTTCTTGGATTAGAGCTTTTGTAAGCTTCCAGAAGAGAGGAAACTCAGATGTTTAGCTGGCAGCAGTTGGTGATGAGGGAAGAACCTTGGCTCAGTTCCCTGTTGGGCGCAGGGAGCAGTTTCCCTCCATCTGTTAGGAGCTTCTGATTAGATGAGGTAGGTTAAATCTTTTTTCCCTCTGCTCTTCCTTCCCAACGGTTGTGAAATCACTTATTTGTGTTGCTGGGAGCAAAGAGAAGAGAAATGAAACCACAAAGCCAGTGCAGGGCTTTTTATGCTCTTTGCAGGTTAGAGGCTGGAAAGAGATGATTAGAGTGACTGAAGATTGATGGAAGTGATAAGGTGGGTGAAAGGGTACAGAAGGGAGCAAGGAATGATGCATTTACTTAATGGGATATCTTAAGCTTCTCTGTCAGGCTGCCTTGTTTGCAATCTGTTTAACACTTGCTCTTACCTTCTAAAGAATAACGGTGGCTTATTGTACACTTTCTAAAATTGTTCTGAGAAAGGGCAAATTTATATCTGCAAGTGTGTGGATTGGTACAGAGAAAGAGGAGTTGCCACTCACGTTCCACGTGCCAGTATGGCTTGTCTCAAGGCCATGCTGAAGTAAAATCAACTGCATCATGTATGTAGTGATTTTTTCCACCTATGGGCTCTTCTTAGCTGACTGCCATAGTGATTAAACTGAGATTGTGCAGGATTGGAAATAGGGCCCAGAACAAACTCCTCGGCCAGCAACTCACATCAAGCTCTGGAAGCTTTTAGAGCAATAAACCAGACACATAATTACAATAAATAAATAAGTACTTAATGATAAATAAACAAATAAATAGTAATAGTCATGGCAATAGTATAATAGTAGTAGTAGTAATAAAAATAATAATAATAATAATAGCCATAAAGAGCAAATCCCAAATATATACAGACACACTGACCAAATCTGAAAGAAAAATAAAAATAATGTTAGTATTATTATTAATTTTGAAAGAGAGAAGGAACCTTTCTTTGTTCCTCTTCTTGCTTCTTCTCTCTCTTCACCTTCTGTGACTAATGTCCTTGGACTCCTTACCTCTCCTGCTGTGATATTGATCCATCCCCTGTCAGGGCATTAAATTGCATAACACACCAATACAACAGGCTGCTCTATTTGTGTAGCAGCCCCCTGTGAATTCTTCAATAGTTGTCTGGCCTGGCACAATATATTAAAAAAAAAAAAAAAACGAAAAACCAACCACAAGTATCCCACAGCCCAGAGCAGCACCCTTTCACTGGGTGTTGCCTCGCTGCCTCCCGCAGTTTTGCCAGCCCAGCAGTTTGCATTGCTGAGTTTGCCTGCTTTATCCTGGTGTAATCTCAGGAGCAGAAATGACAGCAGCCTCTTTTCTTTAAGAGGGGAAATGAATTTTGTGATGTGGATTCTACATCAGCCACTAAACCAGCAGCTTTTCCATTGGGGGTTGACCAGAAATTAGTCTGAGATTACACAAGGCCCACTAAAGGTGGTTCCTTTTGTTAAATTCAAATTTGCAAGGTTATTACAGTCACAAGTTTTCTTAAATGGGAACCTAAAGATACATTTTTTCCTGTCTTAATAAACAGAAAGAGGCCATAACACTGCTTTCATACAATCATAGAATCACAGAAACATTTGGATTGGAAGGGACCTTAAAAATCATCTCGTTCCAAACCCTCTGCCATGGGCAGGGACACCTTCCACGTAGACCAGGTTGCTCAAAGCCCCATCCAACCTGCCCTTGAACACTTCCAGGGAACATATCCTCATCTTCTCTGGGCAGCCTGTTCCAGTGCTTCACCACTCTAACAGTAAAGAATTACTTTCTAATATCTAATCTAAATCTACACTCTTTCAGTTTCAAACTGTTATCCCCTTTCCTACCAACAGACTACCTGTTAAAACATCCCTCCCCATCTTTCCTGTAGGCTCCTGTTAAGTACTGGAAGACCATTTAAAGGCCTTATAAGATTTTCAAAGATAAATACTCCTCTCCCCCCAGGACTGGAAAACCAAGATGGCCAAGAAAGCTCCCATGAAGCATTTTTCAAACATGCTCATTTATAACCCAAACCAGCTAATTTGCATCTCAATTTACATATATTCCACAGTACTTTATTGCATTGATTAGGTGTCTGTACATTTACATTTCCATCACTTCCACATAACAGCAGTGGTAGGTCACAGTGACCTTACAAATATCTTGTCAAAGCCTTTTGTGTCAAAACAGCACAACCTCAGAAATGTACTATCAAAACATCCCCATCATCCAATGTCAAAACAGCTTCATCACAGAGCCTAAGCACATTCAGATCCAACAAATTAACATATCAAGGCTTTATTGCTTTAATATCCAAGTAAAAAACAAAAACCTAATGCCTTCTCTGTGAAAAGAAAATTGTTCTTACTCCCATTTCCCACTGCTAATTAACAAAGTTCCTGTCTACTGGGGTGTCTCAAGAGTGATTTTTTTTTTTTTTTTCTGACAGTGCCACTACAGTGACCAACATTTTCATTTATCCAAACTTGCAAAAGTGACTGCAAGAGGCTTCTGGGAACTTAGTCTCAATGATTGTCAAGTCAGTAACATTCCTGGCTAGATACAAGACTATTCAGCAAAGTGAACAAGACAACAGAAAAATTTTATAAACAAAGCCAATGCACAGTTCTGGACCATCTCCCATTGCATTTAAATTATCTCATTGTTCATTTTTCAGACTGAACCTGTCTTAGTGCTTGGTTTCACTGCAAGTGGCTAAATAAATTGGGGAGAAGTACACACTACACTCTTTATTTTATTTTTTAAAATAATTTAAAGGGAGTAAGATAAATAATCCCCAAAGATTAAATCTAACTGTTTATAAATCACAGCCTCAGAGGTTTCTTTGCCCTTCTGCACATCTGCATACCAGGCAGAAAAAGTACCTAACTTTTGTGCACAGCCACAGTTTCACACCAGTGCAACTGAACCCATGTGAATCCCATGATTTGAACTGCAATGCTTCTCCATCTCTGCTTTGTGAAGGGGGTGTTTATAAGGGAGTTTTTCAGGGACACATCCCATCACAGGGCAGTGTGCTTCACTTCAGTGTAAGCATACATAACATCCAAATACAAAGGCAGTATACTAAACAGCAATGTTTAGTGCATTCTTGAATAAAAACATGCAGAGACCATCAACTGAAAATGCAATAGTGCAGTAAACTACTCTGGAACATCAACACTGCAAATATTCATGTTTGGGCAACACACAATTTCAGGCAATGACTTTCTTCCTAGGTAAAACATTCAAATACAGAATAAATAAATATAAAGCAGCTGGTTACATTCTATTTTTTTTTTCAGGATATTAGCTAACAACCAAAGCAATTAAATTTACAAGCAAGAAGAAGGTCATAGGCAATCTGGTCTTATCTAACTGACCTTGTAGTAAAGACATTATGTCACACCCATTAGCACTAGGGCAGGATCTGTTGCATTTTGCTCTGCTTCCCACGAGTCATCTCTGTGGCAGCACAGGGTGATACCATGAATTCAGATGGATTATACTGGGATGGAACAAATCAGAAGCTGCAGTTGCAAGTTTGTAGAAACAGACCTGACTAGTGACTTTCTGTTATCCCCAAGAAAATTAAGTGGAGGCACAACCACACATCTTGGTCTTGTGTAAACACTTTCTATTTAATTTTTCAGATTCAGTTCATTCCAAAAGTCATTCTTTTGAAATCTGTGATTTGTTTTTTGTTTTGGTTTTGTGTTTTTTTTTTTTCATAACAAACATACAGTAGCTCCCATGTAAGGTCTCTTCTTAAAAATGGTGTCTCAGTATATAGGAGATATTCCCTCTGTTTTAAATGAGAAGACTACTGCAGAATTCATTAACTCCTTGAGTGTGACTGATGTAATGAGATAGAGAAACAATTCACTCTGCAATAATTGTGGCCTTTATTTATACTTAACTCTGCTTTAATGGATCGCTACATTTATTCATACTTTACTTTCATTTTCTAAACACTGTATTACTGGCTTGCAATCTATAGCCTGAGAACTAATCTCAGGATTTCAATGACCAGCTTCACAGCAGTAAAGGCTCTTAAATTAGCCCTTCTTATTTTCATCTGCTTCTCCAAGTTCTCCAAGTTCCCCACTGAAAATGAAACATGAAAAACCAATTTGAAGTCAAGGGGGGAAGTTCCTCAGATCTCTCTGGCAGAAACTTCTGCTGCCTGAGAGCTGGGAGGGAAATAGAAGCTGTTTTCTTAGGTTGATGTGAGCTAAGGGAATCAGATGAAGTGACACACATGTGTGTAACAAAAATATATGGAGGGAGAACAGCACCATGGGGCACTACAGTTATAGGAGGGAATAGAAAAAAAGGAAGTGAAGTGGTTGAGTGAGGAGTCAAAAGAGAGACGTGTATGAAGGAATAAAAAGACCTCATGAAATGGAAAACAGGGCAAATTTCTTCCTGAATAGCTTTAATTTCACCCAATTTTTGCTATCCAAAGAAAGAAGGATGGCTGAGAGACCTGGGCAGGCTTGACAGGAAGGACTAGATGAGGCTGTAGGGGTGCATTTGCAGAAGGATTTCTGAAGAAGGCAGCTGCAATGGCTGCTAATGGTGAAATGGTAAAAAAGCTGATGATACTGTGGTACATCCCAGGGAAGTACTGAGAGAAAGGCTGCCTCAACTGGACAAAAACTCCATTATTAAAGGATCCAAGGGAGCAAGAACATTAGAGGACAGTTGAGGATGAAACCTACTTAAAACTTATCTGATTACTGAAGTCTCTGCAAATCTACAGTAGGAGCACCAGGACCCCTCTACGGCCGTACCACTCGCGCCTAAGGTGTCAGCACTGCAGGAGTTGTTCTGTGATAACTCCGAGGCCTCACAGTGATGTGCCAGAGTGCAGAATCAGTCCTTGACATAAACTCTCTTGGCAGCAAGGGACCTGGCAAACTGAGGAGACATTTCCACCATTCTTGTAATTCGTGGCACAAATTGCTTCTACCAGAATTTGTTCCAAACAGTTGAGGGGTTCTATACACAGGGCACCTGTGTGTGTTGCCCAGGCCATATATCAAAGCTGGCACTAAACACTGTAGGATTCACTTTCCAGGCAGAGGTCTGCTGTCT